CGCCAGTCCATCACAGGGCAGACACACAGACAGACACACTCTGGAAGGGATGCCAGTCCATCACAGGGCAGACACACAGACAGACACACCCTGGAAGGGATGCCAGTCCATCACAGGGCAGACACACAGACAGACACACCCTGGAAGGGATGCCAGTCCATCACAGGGCAGACACAAAGATATACACAGAGACACACAGACACACACACCCTGGATGGGATGCCAGTCCATCACAGGGGACACACAGACACACATTCACACACCCTGGACAGGACGCCAGTCCATTACAGGCCAGACGCACAGAGACACAGACAGACACACACAGACACTAAGAAGCCAGTTAGCACTGTTAGTTTGTACTGTGGGAGGAAACCCATGCAAATATGTGGAGAACATACAAACTCCACACAGATAGTACCCTACAATAAAACTTCTACTCTGAAATAGCTGTACAAGTAAAGTCAGGGAAAATGGTTTGTTTAATGTCAGGTTCTGAGGTTCTGATGGGTTTACCTCTCACATTCTAGGGCAAAACATCAACAGGACATAAACTGCCCCCAATGTTTCCTATGGGTAATGGGAAACGTAGTGCCATTGTGTGAACAGCAGTGCTGCTCCCTTCCTATTGTGAATACAGCTGTGCGCTTTTTTCTAAGAAAGATTTTTTCGGGGTATACAAAAAGGTGAAGGCTTTTTTTAGAGCGTGTGTGGGCGCAGGCAGAGTGTTCTCTGGGGAAAACAGCGTGGGCTCGCACTACTGACTTGATTATGAAGGAGGCTGTCTGCGGTAAGAAAAGCCTCACTTTTCGGTTACAAAAAGGATCAACACCTACAGATCTAACCGCTTGACAGTGTTTAAACAATGTGATGCAAAGACACGAGATGTGTGCTGGGGCCGGAGCAGCCTGAGGAAGTTTACCGCAATGAGTAGCTCACATTTAAGATATCCAACAAACATTTCACGAGGAAGTAAATCCGATTGCCGGTTTCTGAGTTCAGGTTTTTGGTGATAAGCATAACAGCAATGAAATGCTTCAAAGTTTGGAGTTTGGACTATGTAACAGATTATTGAGGGAATTAAGAAATGCAAAACAAACTCAATTTAACACAAGAATTGCTATGAATTCTTAATCCTAACGATGCATCTTCTAATGATGCATCATAATCCTTAATCTTAAAAAAGGGTTTCTTAATATTAATTAAGAATGTCAAAACCTGAAGTTGATTCCTAAAATAAGCCTCTCAGCAGAGAAGTAAAATTGTTTATCAGGAAACAAGCTTCCACTCCAGGTCAGCTTCCGTAGATTTCACATGGCAGTTAAAACACCAGGAAAAACATGCCTTGGGTATGTTTTTTCATCTTGGACTTTGCTATCTGGGGTTCCCCTACACGCAGATTAACTCAATGGGCAGCACCGGTGAGACTAACAAGTTCGATTCTGGATCACACAAATCTTTATCTTCCTCTTCATAGGCACGTCAAACACCTGGTCAAAGCAGAGAATCTGGCTGAGCATGAAACAGGATGATCTTGGAATCTTTGTGTGTTCTTTGCATCTAAAAGGTGAAAAGCCCTGTCAGAAGCGCTAATTGATGCAGTGATCTCTCAGTTCTCAGTCTCCTTCGTATTCAGGTGAGCTGCAGTGGTGTGGCAGCTGAAGTAGTAATTGAGTGTCTGATGTCAGTGGGTATAATTGCAATGACTGTCGATAATATGTAACATGAAGCAGAATCTGCTCTTTGCCATCACAATTCCATCCATGCATCTGTTTTCTAACCTCTTTATTCAATTCAAGGTCGGGGGTGAGCCCAGACAAGTAATGGGTGCAAAGCAAGATACACCCTGGACAGGACACCAGTCCATCGCAGGGCACACACAGACATTCAGGCCGAATTGCCCAGAAGTTAATTTAATTTCCAGTATGTCTTTGAGCTGTGGGAGAAACCCAGAGTTCCCAGCACAAACCCACACAAACACAGGGAGAACATGCAAACTCCACGCACACAGCGCCCTAGGAATTGAACCCAGGGCCCCAGAGCAGTGAGGTAGCAGTGCTTACCACTG